CAACGGAAAAGTACGCTTATACTATGTATGCAATAGCATTGAATTTAAGAAAGTTTCAGTCGCCCTGAGAAAATTAAAACATCTCTCTTCGTGGGCGCGCAGCGTCATGACTTATCTTCTTATGCGAGACTCTGGCGCTTAAACAGACATAAAAAAGTTTGAGCTTGTATGCCCGTCTATTGCTTCCCATTTAGGTCGAAATTTTTAGATTTAGTGGTCATATGATAAACTGCTTATTGACTTAGTTTGGTTGGGCCGGACGGGAAAATATTTGGCTCTCGGTCATGAAGCAAGGACCTCGCTGCGCTCTTACCACTCGATCAGTAAGTACACAGTATTTGGGTTTTACGTCACACTTTTATCACTAATGATGTAATTGAACATGAAAAATGAAAAGTGCTATTTTAATTTTAATGACGAACGTCAAGCTTAAGTGTTAACTATTTGAAAAGTTTGGTTTACATCACAAGATTGATCACAGTACAACCTAAATTTCTTTCTTTAAACGGTAACCTATCTTTGCGTGATAATCGACTCCTTGTCTTCCTAAAATTTTCATTTTCTTGCGGGTGTGATACATGAACCACTCGTTTGCTTTTTCTCGTGATGTGAGCTCGGGCCGCCTCTGCTGACATCATTAAAGGACATTCTGCATTATAAATATGTCTTAATATAGGATTGATTTTAGTTTTTGGTCACGCGATTGTGGAAACCATCAGTTTCTTAAATTAAACAATGCTGCACAATCTTAGCTAATGAGGTTGAAATATATTGTAGAAAACCTTAACGGTTTGAAGAAAGCCATTTGACAGTGGAGATATGAAGCATCCGATCAACAGAAAAGTAGGCTTATACTATGTATGCAATAACAGTGAATTTAAGAAAGTTTCAGTTTCTCTGGGAAAATTAAAACAGCTCTCTTCGTGAGCGCGCAGCGTCATAACTTATCTTCTTATGGGAGACTCGGGTGCTTACGGCCTTTAGAAAAATATGTAACGTAGAACCCGCCGCTAGTATCCAAAAATTTTAATGAATGGTATCTCGACCAGGAAACGCTTGTGTACAAGTAGAAAACGGAAATTCAATTCGAATATGCCGAGTCAAGTTAAAAGTTACATTTCAGGTCATAGCCATTGGAAAACCACATAATGGAGCACTATGGATTTCCTATGATATCAGCGTGGGACAGTCCACGCAATAAATAGAGGTCTGAATTTAATTTTACGATCATCAATTTCTCAATTGAACGATACTCAATAACCTTAATTAATGAGTATAAATAATACGGTATAAATGTACACAGATTTGAAAAAGTCGCCGTAGAACCAATTCATTTCACTGTGGTGACGATTCAATCGCGCCATCAACCGATTTAACGAAGAGCTAACGCTCGAATGTGACATATTGCAAACATAAAGATCAAGAAAGCAGTTACTGGGCTTTGCCATGAGAGCCTTACCTCTCTACAGTTACTAAATAACTAAAGCTGATAAAAACCGAGTGACTAGAAAAGATTTTCAATCGCACTTACCAAGTTGTTGACAATGTGGCTGATACTTTCAAAATGAAACGACAAAAATACTGAATTACTTTTCTAACCTTCCGAACTTCCGCTGTCACAATGTTTTAGGTATCCAGATCACGTGTGTTTAGGTTATTCCTTTCTCCGTCTATCACGTCCTATTTAGGTTGAGATTTTCATCAATTAGTGGTCATGTGATAATGCTCATTGACCGAATTTGGTGGGGCCCGTACGGAAAATATCTGGCTCGGAGTCATGAATAAAAGACCTCGCTGCGTTCGGTCCGTAGCCGGCATGATCCCAAGCCAAGTATTTTTTCCGTCCGGCCCTACCACTCGATCAACAAGTGCACAATATTTCGGTTTTATACGTCACACTTTTATCACTCGTGATGCAATTGAACATGAAAAGTGAAATTGTTGTTCTTTTTTTAATAGGAAATGTCAGGCTTTAGTGTTTACCCCTTTGAAAGGTTTGATTTTCACCATTAGATCGATTACGGTACAACCTAATTTTCTCTTTTTTAACGATAAACTATCTTGGCGTGATAATCGACACATTGTCTTCGTAAACTTTTCATTTTCTAACGGGTGTAATTTGCATGATTGAAGACATAACTACCAAAAAAACCAAATGACTGTATTTCGGTTTGGCACTTCACACTTTTATAACTAATGATGGTTATAAAATAATTGAGATAGATCGCACGCTCTTATAGGTCAAGTAGCTAGTTTAAATGAGAGTATGTAAACACAGCTTGATTGGACGTCATACTTTTAATGTTGCCGGCGCAATTTGTAAACATTTCAAACTCAAAGTTTTCCCGATACTCGCAAAATAATTTCAAGTACAAATAATAAATATTGGAATTGGAAAACAATTTGCCAAGTTTTGATCTGGGGCTAGGCTATCCCCCTTTCCCAGTGAGGAACAAAAAGGAGGAAAAAGAGGAACTAGCGTTTTGCCTACCTTGATGATCATGAGCTGTACGGCCTCTTCGAGGAAGTTCAAGTAAAGACGACAAATATGCAACAAAATGCGCAGTAAACATCGAAATCTAAAGAAACAAGGAAAAATTTGGGAAAAACATTTGGAAAAATCGTTCTACGCACCCTACTTTCAAAGAAACCATGGAAAACAATCCATCACTGAAAAGCTTATAAAGTATAGAAGAAGAGTTTTAAAAGTTTCTTTTTTTTCCAGAAAGTTTAGTTTCAATGTTTTCTCCCACCTGTCACGTAATTCTGGCTCTAAGCGGGCAAATAAACCAATGTATGTAAATAAACCTATATATAATATAGCTCTTTATACACAATGATTGACTAAGGAAGCTAATAAATGTGAACAACTTTCGAGATTTTTTGTTAAGGAATGGAAAATTTCACGTTGAGAGAGATGCGTGTAGGCGAAATGTTGATGGGAAAATCGTAGAGTTTCTTTCTTCTGTCGTTTATTCCTTTGGAGATTTGCTAAAATCAGCAAATATAGCTTTTGTACGGCACAAAACATTCAATGGTCTATGATTTGTTTACTGCTCATAGCTAAAAATATTGACGCAGATGGGGATCATTACGTGATAACTGACCAATGAATTCGTTCCGCGCGACGAGGAGTTTTCAATAAAATCTCGCTCAATCAATGGGTGGGTAATGAACTTCCACATTCACTAAGCTTTGGAAGCATTTATCCCACAAAAGTTTCACACAAATTTTACCCGGTAAAGGTTTCACCAAAAAAATTCACTCAACAGATTTACATTGTTCCGTTCTATTTTATCCCACGTCCCATTCCACCAGCTTTTGTCTAGTCTTTGGTGAGGTTTCCGTTTATGGAAATTTGGTCTGAATTTGTTGCTGATCGTGACACAAAGCTCGGAAGTTATAAACTTTCTTCTAACACTTTATTTTTGGCCGGCAGCTAGCGAACTTACCGATCTCAGTGACGCAGTTTTCATTTAAAGGACGAGTTCTATGGAATGTTTGTGTCTTTGAAGATGCAAGCTGCCTATTACATAATAAGACCCCATTTGCATGGTCTCGGGTACCACAGACAATCGGGTACCACAGACAATCCTTCCCCCGAGTTACCCTGGGCGAGCTAACTCTTCACTTATTTCTTATAAAAAATTCAGCCGACCGTTTACATGAAGTTATAAACTCTTCTTAGGTACACGAGACAACTAGGGGGGTGAGGCGGGCAACTTTTCCTCATGTAAACACCTTGTCTCGCCGACCCGAGACGAGACAACTCGAACAGAAAATGCGTGCACACGCCATGACCAGAATGTTTACAGATATTTTTTTCCTGCCGTCCGCCATTTTTTTGAATATGTAACCTGGCCGAATGAGGGTCAGCAGATGTTAAATTTCATGTAAACACTTTGTAAAGTTGTCTCAGGGGGAGGGTTGTCTCGGGTACCCGAGACCATATATATGGGGCTTAAGAGTCCGGAACGCCACAGATCTTCATTTACTCCAATTTTTGCAGAATGTTCTCGAGAGAGTGACGTTGACTTAAATTGCATCTCTTCTGGCCGTAAATTATTTGAGGACATAAAATTATTCATCTAGTACTCATTTTTGTTTGTTTGTTTGCTTCTAAAACGCCTCAGCAAGCCGAATTCCTAACTCGTCTTATCTTTCTCTCTCGTATCGGTGAATCATTTTTTATGATAGAGTTTGTATCACATTTTAGAAAAGGAGATTAAATCACTTCCCTGAAAATTTCATTCTTGAAGTGAGATCTGAAACATTAACAGATTGCAGTTTTTACAGAAAGGTAAAAAACATTCCGTGTTAGTTTTGATATTACTCAATTCCTGTTGTGTAGCTCTACTAATGACAACTTTATTGAATTAAGATAACTATCCTCGAATGTCCTTGTTACTTCTTTTTTACTGCAGAGGTGAGGTAAAGATCCAGCACTTTTTACGACTCCGAGGTAAATAATTGTTTTCGTATATACCACACAAGTACCAAAAAAATAACTGTATTTCTGTCAATACACCAAAAACATGGTCTGAAACTAAACTCTCGAAGGGCGATTTTGTCTCTTCAGCTGCTCAGCTTTGAAAAGAACTTGCCAATCATTGCCAGCCAATCAGGTTGCACGAAAACCACCTCTCGCTTAGTGGTATATACTTTGTGACCGACAATAATCCTCTCTGGACGATCAAACCACCCAATCAACATAACCGTTGGAGTTCTTGGTTCAAACCAGTTCTTGCATCATGACATGAACGTAACGAAGGTTATTATGTCGTTACAACATTTGTGTGAATATGAAGGTGTAATGATAAACGAGCAAAATAGTAAGAATGACAGAGTGACATAACCGTGGTTCATACTGGCAACACAAAGACGTAACAACTGAAAGAGATCGCTGTATCATTGTGTTAGTGGTGTGAACAAGCAGACATGACGATCAAGTAGCAAAAGTTCAACAACAACATAGACTTCTATGACAATGGGAAAAAAATGTTCTCTTCTTCATGTCGTTATGTCATTCTAGGGAAAGTGTAAGTCAGGTTCAATCAAACAGCAATTCCAATATTAGGGACTAATGGTAATAAATAATCCGGTTACTTATGGACCCCTTAAAATAGTATATATCCTCGATGCATCAAGATTTCTTTATGCCATGGGTATTTAATTTTTAGTTACAATGATTTTCTAATACCATCTACACATGAAGAAAAGTTTGTCTCGCTCGTCCTAACAGATGGTATGCATATAAAAAAGGAAAAAAGCTCGATGGGGCTTAACAATTTTTACAACTGAATACTCCAGGTAGCATGAAGGGCAGATGGAGCAAGCCAGAAGCTTATAGCTCCATTATGGAAGAATGGTTCGCTCCTGGATCATGGAAAGCGTAACAAGATCGATTTTGTTGGTCCATCAGGGGCTAAGAGACCAATAATGATATACTTGCAGACTATTCCGTAACGTTTCTACGCCTCTACATTACGGACACAGACACCACACTGCAATTACCGAACACTCGCTATCATGTGGTTCTTCACATTCCTATCGGCTAGTCGCGTTCATTTTGGACTGTATGATGCGCTAAACTCGCAAATGGACTTTTCCGTCTATCCTGAAACTCTTTAAGACTTCTTTACTAAATTCTCAGGAAACAACCTTGTCTCACACAAGTGTTTCTGTCTGTGCAAATTCCTGCCTCGCATCCTGTTCATCTACATCCTCGTTATTTTTTCTAGTCCACTTTTCTTTCATTTGTAGAAAAATCCTCTGACACAATGTACCTAGTATGCACCCGATCATTGCTATGGTGAGTTGCAAGAAGAGTCCACTTAGGTCTTCTACCTTAAGTTGAGCTGGAGGAGTTTCCCTCGGGCATTTATACTTGGATACCCAGAATTCTTGGATGAAGTCCGTCAGTCCTTTAGCTTTGATCTTTTGAAGAGCTTCTGATACTTGGATAAACAAAGGATTGTTCTTTTTAACAGCAATGGATGCTCCAGACATTGCAAAAGGTTCACCAACAACTCTGAGTTCACAATGAAGATCATTCCTTGATTCGTATTCCAGGCCCACGTGATCTGCGACGAAAACGTCCAGACTCCTGTTCATAAAAATCAAGCAAAGTGATGTGAGGTTTGTAATATTGTTGTTTATGTGTGTATGTTGTGTTTTATTTTCCAAAATGAATTTTTTCTCTAATTTTGTAACGGTAACCTTATATCTAGATGATTTCCCTTAATAACTCATTATTGATAATAGTGGAAAAGCAAGCGGGGGCTAAAAAAAGCCATAACTCGTTTTTCACTGCCGGACGTTGATCATTCTTTCATTTCAATAATCCAAATTGATAAGTAATTAGGGGATTGATGTCCAATGTTTTTGGTCTAATCAGTTGACATGGTTACTAGATAACTGATATTTTGTGCCTCTATCTATCGCCTACATGTACATTCAAGTTCGTTTTTTTGGCATAATTTTCAGGCACAGAAAAAAATTCGAATAGTGCTCGAAGATTCAAAAGTTTCAAACCCTGTTTTGACAGCTTCAACTCCTTCCCGAAGACTTTTAACATTGTTTTCTTTCATGTGATACCACACGTGGCGAAAATATGCATTTTCACTGTTCTTGAAGTAGTCGGCCATATAAGATCCGTCAATAGTGCCATACTTAAAGCCATCCGGTGGTCGCTCAATCTATATTGATGAAGAGAGAAAAACGTATTTATTAGGCAGATTACGGTCAAATAAAAAAAGAATTCAGAAATGAATCGAAACTGCTCCTTGTTGCATTTAACCTTGAGGTATTATTTGAAGTCGTCTGTCTACAATCTAGGAAACTCTCCTTTATTTTCATTATAATAGTATTAGTGAGAAAGATGTTTTTCGTCTTGTCACAAACGTGGGATAGAGAAAAGTCGCCACGAGGAATCGAACTTCAGACCTTCCGATTCCGCGCTCCGATACTCTACCACTGAGCCACAGAGACTCTGCGGTGAGCGCGGCCCATTACATAGGTCATATATGTTTAAGTATTTCGAAACGATCAAATTTTTTTAACAAATTTACCGATTTCAAATTACATCTTTCAATAATTCAATTATTAATTAATTAATTAATTAATTAATTAATTAACGTATTAAGAACATAAACTTGAGATCATTCCTCGTCTTAAAGTCTTCTTCCATTTTTGTTTCCTTGTAATGTTGCTACTCATTAAAACAGGTTAACTTCCAATGTGACAGTCAATAATCTATTTGCATAGTATTCAAAGTGTCGGTAATAGCTACTAAAATCCTATCCTATCCAGACTTTCCAAGCTTACCTGTCATTTTATCTTGGGTGTCTCAAACTGTGCATGAACCGTGTTAATCAGGAAGAGACTCAAGCTACTTAGAGACAAACCGACTCCATCTACTGATTTAAGGCGGGAAAGAACGAAAAACAAAAAAATAGAGATAAAGCTACTTAAGCAAGGTCAATTATGTGTAAGATGTACCTTGATGTCGTAAATGTCTTCCACAGGGGGACTTTTATCATCAACGATGAGAAAAGCAGCCAAATTAGCCGAATATGTTGACACAAAAACCAGCATTGCCATTCCAAATGCAACTGACGCAAGCCTAGCGCCGTTAGTTTTTGGTTTTGACTCGTCCGCTGGGCGACCAAACGCAAGAGCGAGAGCGAAACAAACTGCGTTGTCGAGACCAAATGAAGAGTTTGGATGGAACAGCTTCTTTGATCCTCTGATCGGACTAATCTTGTCCATTGCCCATAGGAAGATAATCATTATACCTAAGCTTCCAAGCAGAGTAAGCCAAACTGGAGGAGTGAAAGGTCTAAGATAAGACACCCAGTAAATTTGATTGTCTTCACGTTTCTTCTCTTTTGCCAAAAGGCGAATTCCTGAAGGCATATACGGTTCAGTAAAATCGACAACATTGGCCCTGCGAGAGCTTATGTAGAGATCAAAGCTTATATCACCCCTTCCACTAAGTAGTTCTGAAACTACGCCATTCCAACTGTTATTTGCTTCATCGTATATTCCATATTGTCCGTCTAGACTAAACAATAACTTTGGAACTTTTTCCATCTCGTTGCATATCACTTCTAACACATCGATAACAAAGCCATAGCAGCAACGCTTTATCTCCTCTCCTTCGACAGTTTTAGAGCACAACATAGAGCCAGGCTGGCATGGTTCGCCAACTTTTTTCGGTTGGGACATAACATTGGGTGGGTACTCGTTGAGAAGGATTTTAAGGTCTTCTCCTTTTTTCTCCATTGAGAGCTTGCCATTAGACCAATAACCAAGATGTTCAAGTTCATACATATCCTGATCTTCGTTGTACTCCATTCTGTTAACATCGTAGCGAAGGGGCACTCGGTTGCCCTGCTGATCAAACTCAACAGGATCTGAAGAACCGTGAAAGTTTACTTCAGATAGAAGTCTGAAAAGGAGAATAGACACATCATTTTCGGTATCATTTTGATAATAACCTACTTTTAATAGCATTAAATTATGGTCCCGAGACAAGGTTCAATTAGATTACTGGAAAAATAGGTTAGCTGGCTTTAGTTGTAGTTTCTGTTTTGTAAACTGTGAGAAGTAGCTCGTATGGACAAGAATATGTCACCATTTTCACTATTAGGATTTCTAATGTGACGATCTTCAGAGAGCGAATGTATTGTTCTTTAAGGCAAAATGAATAATTACATTAAATTATTTTTTTAAGACATGACGCTCTTCTTCGTCCAGCATCTATCTAACATCTTGTATCTAGCAAGTTATTTCTTGAATCTTTTAACCTTTACTCACTTATTTCAAGTGACTCAAAGAATCCTTAGCAATTTGCACTAGTACTTTTACAGAATGAGAGAGATTCTTTTTTACCACAATTATCAGTAATGTCGGAATACAAAAAATGCCACTCGCGTCAACGTGTCACGAAATGTCTTTATCACCTCACAAATGTAGATGTCTTGAAAATTTTTACATCGATCTTGAGGTAAAAAACAAATCAAAAGTTTCGCGTGGTCTGTACTCTTATCGACAACGATATTCGACATAACAATGGTTAAAACGTCGCGGACCTACGGGACGCAGAGTACAGACCACAGAACACATTAAATCAATGTCGATTTGGTAAATATCTAAACACAAATTGTTTTTTTTACCTTCTAAATTTACAAATTTTTGGGCAAGAGAAGGCTTTCCCTTTGCGTCCATTTCCTGTTACGGTGTGGCTAATTGAGCTCACTGCATCGTCCACAAAATCACTAAGCTTAACCTTAAGAGAATATTTTGGAGTTATGGTATAAACGTAATCCCAATGCCATTGGGAGCCTAAGCTTCCGACATCCAAATCACAGAGGAAAATCCAAGTCCAAGATGGAAAATCTTCTTTTACGCTGAGTATCTGTTCAGCGAGTGAAAGATTATTCGTTACCAAAATGATATTACTAGCATCAGTCTCTAATTTTTTTTCAAAATAATCAAAATTATCTTCATTGTATACCAGCCACTCTGTCAAATTCAAATTCCTTGGATGAAGGGATTCCTTCAATAAATTTACGAAGTAATTTGAGCTGGGCTCACTATCCGTCACCACCAAAAATTTTTTCCAGTTTAACTTTCCTAAGAGTGCTAAGAGGGCGTCTCTCTTCGTCACCGTGCTTGAAACTGTATTTATGCTGGAAACATGGGCCGGATCATAACTCTGATGTATCCCAGTGTATTGGTAATTCGGGTAAAACTATAGAATAAAAAAAGAAATATTAATTACGTGACAAGAGGTTGAAAAAGCGCACAAAAAACTAATTATAAAATTTTGAGCCATCTTTAAAATTGCTGATTTAGAATCTACAGGAGCGTTGCACTAATTAATTGAAAGAAATGAAGCATAGTTGGCTAGGGCTGTTATCATTTCTTGTTTTTTTTTTTTTTTTTTTTTCCCAGTTTTTTAGGTAATAAACCAAAAATATTGTTTTGTTAGTCATTCATGAAATAAACTATAACTGGAGACAACGTGATCAATTATTTTAGAAAGATTAAGCCCCCGAAAATAATGCTACTTATTGACTCTTCCACCCAGGATAGACGTGAATCTATGCCATAGGCAGGGGAACTACCGATACTGACATCATGTTACACGATGCTCATCTGAACACCTTAATCGCATAACAAGTTTCTCTCTCTCTGACAAATAGTGCAAGCTACCTCTCGTCTGGGGAAGTCGCCGTTTGCAGTTGAAATTGATTATACTTTTATTAATTTTTCATTTTTCCACAGTTTTTAATTCGCATAATAAAGAGACTTTATTAACACATTTAATTCTCGACAAAACTAAAAGTTCGTTTTAACAGCGAGCCCCACGTTTTTAAAATTAAACAGTTATCACTGGTTTGGAACGTCCAGTTAGTATTTCCTGCGAGATTTTTGTAGCGCTTTTGGGCTAAACCACGTTCAAGAAGAAATAAACTGTCAATTCTTTACTTACATGTTCACAGGGGATTCCAAGGAAACTTGGCCTCATTTATAAAGATGTCTGGTCATTCGGTGTTATCATTGTAACAATGCAAATAGAATGTTTCAGAAAATTCCCATCTTTCCCCTTAATGCACCTAAGAGAACATTAGGAAGTGTCCTTCCTTTCGTGCAGACTATCCCTACCCTTATTCAGTCGGATTTTGTGGCAATTATAAAACGTCCTGGCAATCATACATACCGGTGGTATAGCTGTTATAACATTTACCCCTTGGGTAATTGCAAATTCAAGGACTATTCTCGCCTTGCTATCCTCGGCTGCATACACCATAAAACAAGGACCAGTTTGTAGTGTATTCTGAGCAAGTTCTATTATTTCCGAAACACTCGCGTCGCTTTTAAGAAGAAGAGTTCTGTTCATAAACTTGGGAACACACTCCTTAGAATTGTGACTTGATGTGGCGTTCTCAAAAGCTTCTTTAGAGGACGAATCGGCGAAATCGAAGACTCCAATAATGCCAAATGATCCCTTTTCTCGAAAGTTGCAGTTTCCATGCGAAAATGCAAGGTACAATGTGCTTATAAAAAAAACGGCCAATGCTGTATTTTCCGGAAAGCTCATACCCTTTCTACCTCACAAACCATCACTTCAAATCTGCAGTAAACCTCCTTGAGTAGATTTGGCAAATGACACTGCTTTCAGTTGTCAGACATCAATGTAATACGTGCCTTTTCCTATGAAAAAAAAAAATGTTTGAAAAAAAAAAAAACGTTTCATTTCATTCCTAAATTTTCTGGGTTAAATATTCAAAACAAAACCAAACTACCAGTATCATTTAACCAAGGAATGTCAACGTAAACCAAATTAAAGATCCTCGCTGGATGAGAGAGCATAAATCCAAATCTGGACTTCACGGAAAGCCGGCTACATTTAGCCAGACGTGTTGAAGATATCTGTGTAAAAACACACTCACTCCTTTTTATCTCTTTAATAATGTAGAAATTTCTCGCAGAATATGTCCAAGTCGTTGTTGATTAGGTTCTACGGGTATATTTACATTACCAGATAACATGTTTGTCTGTAATAAAACCGCACTTCTGGTGGCAAACAGAAGACAGTTAATTGACTACTTAAGAGGAAGGTATGAAAAAAATATTTTATCAACCTAAATTTCCGTGTTGCTGTGTTTGCGGACGAAAAAATCTTAAGAGTAATATCTTTACATAACAGCGTCTTGCAAACCCCTCTTAAAGAAAAACCGTCATCCGTACTATAGATTGCATCTTTTAAATAGATTTGGTTCCTAACTGTTTACGACTAAACCGGAAACAAATCAACAATCAATCATTAGCTCGTTTTTCCTACTAAAATTATTTTTGGCAGAAGATCTTAAAGAAAATTATTTCATAATCTTTCGTACTGGGATTTGAAAGTGAACACTAGTCATGGGCCGACATACCTAACAATGCGTTGTTTTTCGTTATTCTTAAGTAATGATACACAACCCAATAAACCTCAGTAAACAACAAACAATCCGATCAACTTGACTGTAACGGCCGTAAAATAATTTGAGGGCAGTGTGAACGCGTGAAAAACATTCTATCTTTTGTCTTTGAATTACCTATATTTAAAACAATAACACTCCCATAAATATTTCTTTGAAAAAAATTACACTTCCTCTTTTTAAATTAGATTTAATGAAATGCAACCTTAAATGATCGCATCACGGAAACCAGTATCCTTACAGCTTTGGTTTCTGGAAAAAGTATGTTACTGCGTGACAGAAGCCCGTTCACAAATTCTAACCCTGTTCCATTATTTCATGGTTATGGTCTTAAGAGACTCGAAGAGTTAGGGTTGGTAATGCACAATAAAATTCGAGTAAAACACTATAAATTGAAATTTTGTTCCCATGATATTTAGATAACAATCAATTTGGCACATCTATACACCTAACAGAAAAAAAAAACAAGTGGAAAGATAACATTCGCCAAAAAAGATGAGACAGCCATAAACTCTGGATTTCTTGCAGCGACGTCTCATGCAATAGAGCAACTATTAAGAATGTTCTCTTTTTTTTCCCCTTTCTTTCTTTAAAAGTATCTCTAACTATTGTTTCTTTATCAGATTTTGATTAACATTATCATTATTTTACGATTCTTGTTGAAAAACCTCGCTCCATTGTCCATAAGCCCTTCATTTTCAAAAACCGGCAATTTTTTTACCACCAGTCACCGAATTAGAGGTGGCTGGTGATGGATATTTACCAAGCTGCGAAGCGGCAAGGAAAATATCCACCGCTAACCACCAACACTAAGGTGAATAGTCGTTTTAGTATAATGGTTCTAAAAAGTATGATAATAAACCCAAAATATATAATTTAGCTCATTTATTCCTGCAACCACGTTGACAATATTTTAGGGCGGAGATCCCGCGTGCGTTTCTCGGAATAGCAAAGGATATGCGGAGTTTGAGTAGCCAATCAGAGAGCTCCTTCAACAGTATCTACTGTGTTAGTATATACTAAACTCAGATATTTTCATGAGTAATTCTCCGTTGGAGTTGATTTAATCTTAAGCGGATTCTTATGTTTGTTTGATGGTCTATTTAGATTGTAAGGAGAGATTGCTCTTAAATCCATAACTTTGGAGATAAAAGCCATGGGGCAAAAATTCAAATTAATGGAAATAATTAAAAGAGATGATAGTTCTAACCATTCAATAACATCACTTAACAATAATAACAGATTTAATGTTCACGATTTAAATGGTAAGTTTGACTAAAACAATAATAATTAAAAAGTTTTCAATTTGACAACTTCCTATTCCATCCAGTTGTACTCTCAGTTAAACTTTTTCCTTGCGTTTCTTGAATCGTTGACATATTGTTGATGTCAAGAGAAGAATTAATAAATACATTTGACAGTCCTCGATACAGACATAAAATGCCTTACAGCAGCAGCCCCCCACCGGTAAAATCAATTAGAAAATCTTTAAAATTTGGTGCAAAGTGCAAGACGTATTCATCATACGTAGCGAAAACAATTAATCCAAATAACATTCGATCTCCATCTATGATATTTTGTCTTCATCTAATTGCCTAAATTGCTGACTTCCTGTTGGATTATTACAGTTCTATCCAGCTGTCACACTTTAGGCAAAAATTTTGGTTTACCCGTGTGGAAGATATCTGACAATCCTGTACTTTATGCTCGAGGATAAACAGATGTGACGCAATTTTAGATTTAACACATCAGTTATATTAATAAGCTCAACCATAATAAGAATTTACTTATGGACATAATTCAAAACTTTTTTCCTTGCGGAAACTTCAATACTTGAAATAAAATGCGATGGTATTCAAAATTCGTATTTTAAATGAGCATAAAGACATTAATTGTACTCACAGACATACTCTGGATCAGAATGTTTGCTTCGCAATGAAATGTGGCATCTTTTCAATTGATTGGTCTGCGATTTTGTCGCACTTGCATTTATATGGATCAATCCTAATAAACGCAGTACCAGTAAATTGGCAAAACACGAAGACACCAATTCGATCTTGGTTACTGAGTCCACGAAATTATGTTTAAGAAAAGGACAGTACCTTGCTTATTTAACAATCTAGCCATGTTACGCTCATATCATGTCGTTGTAGTTTGGCTAGAAAGAAATCAATCTGGACAGCCGCCACGCCACATGCTTATCACGGCATGGAACGAGAAGATCCACGCGAAGTACCAGACACGTTTGATTAGAAATAAAAAAAAAATACTAATGTGTCAGCGAAGTCGCAGCCTTCAATTTCCTTTCTGTTCGCAGAGCGAATACTTGATCTCAATTCTTTTTTAGCTTCCCACAATGAATACTCGTGCTGTATATCATACGTTTAAGAGCTTTAATTTCTGAGTGATATCCAGCCACTTGAGGTGAGAATGTTTTGATTGTCGAGTGCTTGAACAAATTCGCACTTTGGTGTGAATCAAGGCAAGAACCATCAACGAATAAAATTACATCTAAAGCCTGACTGATGATGTATAATCAAGCAAAAGTAATGTTGTCCCACTCATAACTCCAAATCATTGGGGAAATTTTTCCAAACGATTAGCATATAGCACTTGCGCCCCAGCATGCAGTCCTTTTGTTCTAAATTTGCATGAAACAATTATCCGGTGCCACAAGTCGCTTCTTCTCGGGGTAAACAACACAGCAATACCTCAAACTTTTGTCACTTTTTGAACGATTGATATACCCTTAATCAAAGCTAAAACTTTAACGTTGGATCCTTAATCAAAAATTACCATTTGCGACGATGTTTTTCCAATTTCACCGCTATTTTGGATCGAACTAGATATCAGTAAATGAATGGATAAAGCGATATTTTGAGTTTTTCTTTTGCCTGAACTTATATCACGCTGAGGAAGTTAAGGAAACCATCTGGAAATTGAATGCAATTAAATAGCTAGAAAGAGTAAATATCAATGCGAGCTTGGTTGTAACATTCCCCACCAATTTTACTTTTTTCATTTCGTTTCGTTTTGAAAATACTCAAATAATTCAATAGAGATTTACATTGCCTTATTATGCCGAATCGATGTCAATTTATTTTCAAACACGATTCGCTAATTTTCATTTTGTTTTTTGAGCTAGCGGCAGTGCTCAGCCTCACCTCAACAGTTATCATAAAGATTAAATTTTAAACAACCATGGTAAAGGCATTAGTTGACATTAATTGATTTATCGAGTTGTGGATCTCTAGCCTCTGATCAGCGAGAGAGACTTATTTTGTTTACATGTGGCAATCAAAGTGTAAATATCTCTTTTCAGTGGCTTAAATTGGATTGACAAGGTCGTGTACAGACATTTTATTTATTGTGATTGCATAAACTGATACACAGACCACATAGGGCCATGAGGGAAATTACAGTCGACCAGTCACTCTTCGTTCAGCGATCGGTTTACAAAGTCCCGAAATTTTCTCCACTAAAATACTGTAATTTCTACCTCTATTCACATTTTACTAAATCTCCGTGGCCTTTTTTTTATTATTGTTTTCCACCTGTATCAAAAAAGCTCACCGAAGGTGTAGCCACTAAAAAAAAAACTGCCCCCTATCCACACCAGCAAAACATGTTTTGTTAAACTGGTTCTTACTAAATGAAAATCATAAACAGAGAACTGAAAAACTTCATTTTCCATAGGATTTAAATACTTGCTTACTTGCATTTCCAATGTGCTACTGACATTTAAGTAACAAAATATTCAGTTAAGTAGTTTCGACGAAAAAGAAATTTAAACTGCGTTTAACAAAACAACTTTAAAAAATGTTGAAGCTTTGATGTGAAGGGGTATAAGAATAATATTTCAATTAAATTATTTTTCAACGATTTTTACAATGCTTCTATTCGCGTGGATGACCGCTCAGTAAAGGTTCGACTGCGCACTCTTTTGCTGTAATGATGCACCCCATCCTGAAAAAGTGTACTGACAGACAAAATTAAAGTGGCTAGCTATTTACAATTGGTGTTCCTCCATCACGATTATGCACAATTGCCAATGATGAAATTCCAGTTTAGATAGAAAAAATAAAAAAGTATTTGAAACTGGCTCAATAAATTTTTC